CCCAGAATTAGGGCACCCTCCCCCTTCTTTTTCAGGTTTAAAGCACTTACTGAGGGGGGAGGAGGAGGCTTTTGGGTGGGGGCAACACCCCAATAAAGGGACTGGGACCCCCCCCTAAACCCCATCCCCTCACAATGGGGGGTGTGTGTGCATAAAATGTTCCAGGGGTGGGGAATAATAATGAATTTGGGTGAAAATGACCCAAAAGTAGTCACCCCCCTGCCCCCACCTTGTTTTTTTGGTTTAAAATACATAATGAGAGGGGGGAGGAGGGATTTGGGGGGGGGGACACCCCAATGAAGGGACTGAGACCCCCCCCATCCCCAAACCAACCCCTGACACCACAGTGTGGGGGGGAAATAAGAGTGAATTTGTATGAAAACGGCCCAAAATGATACATTTTTCCCTCAGGTGCGGGGATAAACCACTCACTGAGGGCTGAGGGGCCTCTGAGGTGGGGGGAGACCCCAATGAGGGGACCAACCCCCCCCCAATCCCCCAAACATCCCCACACACCACGGCGGGGGAGAAATAAGAGTGAATTTGTGTGAAAACGGCCCAAAACGACACATTTTCCCCTCAGGTGCGGCAATAAACCACTCACCGGGGGCTGAGGGGCCTCTGAGGTGGGGGGGGAGACCCCAATGAGGGGACCAAACCCCCCTCTTAATCCCGCAAACATCCCCACACACCACAGCGGGGGGGGAATAAGAGTGAATTTGCGTGAAAACAGCCCAAAATGATAAATTTTTCCCTCAGGTGTGGGGATAAACCACTCACTGGGGATGAGGGGCCTCTGAGGTGGGGGGGAGACCCCAATGAGGGGACAAAACCCCCTCTTAATCTTCCAAACATCCTCACACACCACGGGGGGAGTGAAATAAGAGTGAATTTGTGTGAAAACGGCCCAAATTAAAACATTTTTCCCTCAGGTGGGGCGATAAACCACTCACCAAGGGCTGAGGAGGCGCCGTTTAGGCGGGAAAAGGTTTGGGCGGGAAAAGCACGCGCCAGGGGGCGGGGCTAGATGGCTGCGCATGCGCAGGCTCCTCCATCCCCCTCCCGCGGTCACCATGGCAACCAAGGTACCGGGGTAGGGGCGTGGTCAACGCATGCCTAGTGCGTCGGAGGGCGTAGCCGACGCGTGCGTCATGCGTCGGAGGGGGCGTGGCCGACGCATGCGCAGTGCGGCGCCC